CTCTCTCTGTCTCTCTCTCTCTCTTTCTCTCTCTCTATGTCTCTCTCTCTCTCTGTCTCTGTCTGTCTGTCTTTCTGTCTGTCTCTGTCTCTGTCTGTCTTTCTCTCTCTCTCTCTCTCTCTTTCTCTCTCTCTCTCTCTCTCTCTCTCTCTCTCTCTCTCTCTCTCTCCTGAAAACACTTAATTGCTCTGTGGGCTTAGTAAAGTTAAACATCTTGCTGAAAAAAGCGTGGTTTACCTGTCTGAACTCAGTGTTCTCACGCACGTATCTGATGGCCTGGTCGGTGTTGGTGATTCCGGTTCTGTAGGGAAGGTTCTGCTCGTTCACGCTAGCCAGGACATCTGACTTTTGTGGGTTTTGGTTCAAACCCAAAGTCGGGCGCTTTTTTTTGAGGAAAAAAAGAGGCATAACGTCCAAGTTTTTTTGTGGTTAATCAATTGTTGTGCTGCCAATCGAAATAAATATTATGATTTCTAATATTTAGTCGGCTGAGAGCTAGAAGTGATTGTCGACATCGCGTGTTTAAAAAAAGGAAAATGTCTTTCTTGGACAATACATAATTATCAAATTTAGGAGGCATATCAAGAACTTTTATCTAAACAAAACTACATAATAGATTACTGTTGTAAGTACAGACATTATGTTATATCATTCGAATGCTTCCATTATGAAACTTTTCAGTAATTTTTTGAACGAAATGGGCCTGTCAATTTTTTTGTTCTCAGCCCACAAATTGACATAACGGGGAGCAAATTCTCAATACAATGACTTCCGGTGATATTTTATACTTCCTTGAATTTAACGTTTCCGATTATTACTAAAGGATATTTCACGTAAACGAATTATTGCAGAAACCAAAACATTTGATATAATAATATGCTTTTAAACAGATCATTACTTCATCCCCCCCCCCCCCCCCCATCCCCAAAAATGTAAATCGTAACTTCACTTCAATTCTACTACTAATCCAACTGAAGTGTCTCTTTTATGTTGTAATCCTGCATTATATTTGAAACGTACATGTACTTTTAGTAAAAGTTTAACGGCGCTAGCAACACAATAAAACTTCATATTAGCACCGAATATTAGAGGTGTTACATACGCTTCACTGTATGCTCTAGTGCTTTTCAACTATTATTACCTCAGCAGACCCTGAAACACTCAGAAAAATGTTTTGTTTCCCAGGAATCATAAAGTGTGAGCAGCTAGCTGATGAAGCCTTCAAAAAGTATAAACAAACTGGTTAGATCTTTGGGTGTCTAAACCCTGGAACCTATTCCAAACTGGATAAAGTATGGGGAAAGGGGGGGGGGAGAGTTATGTCAGATTCCTATCCCGCGTACATAAAATCGGGCACTTAAAGAGATTCGAACCCACGACCTTAGGGTTGAGAGTCCGAGAGTCTAACTAACCCCTCGAGCACCGAGGCCATGAGTGTCTCACCTCGATGTCGTCGCTGAAGGTGAGCACACCGACGCGTGTAGAGCGGGGGTTCACATCCAAGCGGGCCACCACGTCCCTCACGAACTGGCGCTCCTGCTTGAAGTCGTTCACGTAGATGGAGGTCGAGGAGTCAAGGACGAAGAAGATGTCCATGACCTTCTCAAAGCAAGCTGTAAAGGTGTGGGGTTGGGTGGGGTGGGAGGAAGGGTGTCGAGAAGTGTTGGGTTACTACTACTACTACTACTACTACTACTACTACTACTACTACTATTACTACTATTACTACTACTACTACTACTACTACTACTACTACTACTACTACTACTACTACTACTGCTACTACTGCTACTACTACTACTACTGCTACTACTACTACTAATACTACTACTACTACTACTACTCCGACTACTACTAGTGAACGAGCTATAGTTAGTTTTGCGGCACTCGCAAAATAACTCGATCCCAAAAGTGCCGAGTTTAGAGGCGTTGCTAGAAAGAAGAACAGATACTGACATTAAATGTTTGATAAGGAAAAGGGAGAAAAGGAGCACACAAAACCAGAACACCCGCCAGCCACGAATACAAAATCAGAGGAGAAAGTTGATTTGAAAGGGGAGGGGCAGATATAATGTTTTTCTTATTTGGGCGTTCATATTTTTCAGCAATAATTTTTTTTCTAATTTTCCAAAAGTTGTAACATCGGATAGATTGAATCGCCTTCCTGAGGGAAGTAGAATTTTAATAATAAATAAATAGCATTTGTATAGTGCATGTCCCCACTCGAAAGCAGGCTCTATGCGCTTTACACTATATTACTACCCCCAGCAGACCATAGAACACTCAGAAACATTCTCAGCTTCCCGGGAAGCATACAGAGCAAGCAGTTGGTTAAGCGCTCAAACACTAACAATACAAACTGACAAGATCTTTCACAGTCTATAGCTGTCTATAGCTGAGTCATTTTACTCTACGTTGGCCAGCTGATCAGAATGTACTTAGCACAAAAGTTGCGTGGTTGTTGTTGATGTGTTGTTGATGTTATTGTTGGTGTTCTTTTTGTTGCTGTTGTTATTTGGGATTTTTTGTGTGGTTTTTTTAGGGGGGGGGGGGTTGTTTATTTGTTGTTTTGTTTTTTTAAGTTTCTTACTAATTCAAGGTACTCAAGAAACTTTTTTTTAGGTCAAAATTGAGATTCTAAATTTTGAAAAGAAAAGATACATACAATTCTATTGACGATCACAGCGGAAAAAACTATTGATGTTTACATCATAGTCCATATTTTCAAATCCCCACTGCGCAACATAATAATGAAAAGAAGATGAAACTGATTTAAAGTATCACTTAATAAGTGTGCACAAATAGTACAGCCCAAAACTTCTAATTATTCTACACTTGAAAGAGATGGGAAGTCGCAGGGTCTAAACTTTTCGATATTAGGAGTACGTGACACCTCCATTGGTTTTCCTGTAGCTTTTGTTGCTTTTGATTTTTAAACGCGTGGAGCGACCCTCAGTTATTCCGATTTTGGGCCAAGCTATGCAAATTGAGATGTTGATTGGTTTTTTAAGATCAGCCAGTTCTTTGTCTAAAATAGCAAGGAGACAATTGAGAAAGTCGTTATTCTCGTCGTAAATTGCCTTTGAAAACTTGAGGATGGGTTAAAATATACTGAATTTTCACAATACTTGTAGTTTTTCTCAAAATGTCATTTTTTGGCACTTTTCCCATACTCCCTTAGCTTTCATCCTTTTGCATGGTACTTTTCGGAAACATAGATAGCAAGGCCATCAATGTAGCAGAGAGATTTTAGCGAAAAATATTATACCTTTCCGTTGGCAAGCGATTACGCAACCAAAATTTAGAACAGGTTTATTTACATGTACATTGGGAAATTCTCATATTTATTTTTCTTTTGCACTTATCGAAATAAAAGCAGGTTGTTTTTACGTTGATAGGGACTGGTCCAGGTGTACTCTCACTAAATTTGATCAAAATTGGTCGGTAAATAAGATTGCTCTAGGGATTTGAAGTTCATTTTTCATTTTTAAGATGGCAGTTGTTTCCATAGCAACCGTTGCAGCCAGGCAAACATAAAAGTACGCATCAAGATATTGCTCTATGCATTACGTACATTATGTGTACTTAGATTTGAGCTCGGGCAACAAACATAGAAAATGGACCTTGAAATCCCCTCCTGAAAAAAATAGCTGTTTTTTGGTTAGAAGAATGAAGAGGTGACCGACGACAGGGTGTCTTACCTTCATCAGTCTGGTCTCTCCGGGCATCAGGAACTCTCTCCCTTTCAAACTCTGAAAAATGAAGGGGAAAGGATTCCATTGTTAAAACGCTGTACTCAGCGGAAGCGAACCCTATCACCTCCCCTTGTCCTATCAGCATCACCATAAGTGCCAGATCTGCGACGGACATCGGCGATCATGATTCGCCATTTTTCCTTTGCTCGGATGCTCTCAAAAAGCTATTATATTATTAATACTATTTAAAGATCCTGGTCTTTCCCAATAACTTATCCAACCAATATTTCAAAGTAAGTTGCTCTGGGTTTACCCCTGCCTAGTTTGCTTTCAAAATTACTTGTGAAAGTCTTATTTCTATTCTATTCAAGAGGTCAAATTTAAATAGGAGTTGGTTTATTGTGGAACGTCAGTGGGTATAGAGCTACCAAACAGTGTGTTTATCTAATTCTGTACTTTGACAACCACGTGTTTATGTACATATTTTATGTTGTTGTATGAACAGTTGCGTTATTTCGTACCGAACTGTTTATATTATTTTAGACTTACTATTAGGTGGGTATACAACTACAACAACCATCAACAGCAGTTTACTTAATTATGTTGATGATATAGCTGACAAGCGGGCTAACCTAGATTTCGTGTCTCTTCAGAAATCTTGACCTATATTAAAAGTGGGCCTTACACTGCCTATTGGAGAAGATTGGTTTCATTGTTTGGCTACAGAGAATACTATCCTTGTCTTAAAAAAAACTGAACAAGGGGCAAAAACTTTACTTTCAATTTTCTCATAACAGCGTTTTTCGGGATAGCCCCCTTGTGCTTAAAAGCAACCATATATCATAGATGAAAACTACCTATGTTTGTCAACAAATTTACTTTATTCTAGATTTTGAACTTGCTGTTGCAATATATAAGAAAAATATTGGTAGCATTTTTTCTAAAACAACACAAAATAGGAATGATATTTCTATTTCTTGCATCCGAGCATCTATTTTCAATTCTGGTATCTGGTTTGAATGAGAAAAGATATTATTATGTCAAAAGGACTAGACAGGTCTAAGTGAAGGTAGAGAAGTAGATCTCTTGTCCCTCTCTTCATCTCGTAAGTTCAGTTCGTTGTCCTGAAAAAATGGCAGGCGTATAAACATACCGCAAGCATTTTTCTCTTGTTTGTTGATGTTTCACTTTGAAATGGTTGCAATATACAGCACAAGATGGTACATGACAGTTTGTGAAAGTGAGTTTATTAACCTCTCTATCGCCATAGCAGTCGAGACTCGTCGAAAACCCCGCCCCCTCCCCTAACCAACCCCAAACCTCCTTCCCTACCAGACACCCCCCCCCCCCCTTTCCTCCTGCTACCAGTATTCTCCTACTAGATTCCTTTAACTCCAAAAGTCCAGGAATAACTTGTGACTGCCACTGTCCCAGATCTCACAAATCAACCCCCCCCCCCCCCAACAGATCCCCCTCCCCGTTAACCCCCACCCCGGAAAAATCACAGTATAAAAAAAGCAGAAACAACATTGACAACAAAGTAAAAATAAGGGAATTATTTCATAAATAAATCAACGGAGACGTAAAGTTTACAACTACATGTGTCTGTGGTGAAGCAATCTTCATCTCTAGCTTTTCGTGAAGAGGTAGAAGTACATTATACCGATAAATATTATTTTTCGGTTAGCTTGTCGGTGCCACAATCCTGCTCTAGAAGGTGGAAACAGCGAAAGAGTATTAACATTTCTATTTCTAAATTCGTACTGGTACCACTTTAGAAGTAATCATTTGAACTGTGGTGATAATACACGCTATAATATGTACATATTCCTCTTAGGTCAGTTGCCTCAGTCGTGAATCCTTTTTTAAAATACTTTACCTAAATTACAATATGACATAAATTTCTCCTCACATTTGATTTGGCTTTGAGAAAATAGTTATACGTAGTGCAAGATAAGTGACACCAGGGAATCATTATTAGGGAAAACAAACTTTTGTAGATACGGTACGTGAATAAATTTAAAAAGTAGAAAAGTCTTATTGAATTAGGCGCAGTTAAAAATATTTTTGTCATAGATTTTGATCAGGGGGTTCATAGAGAAGATGATGATGGTGGTGATGATGACGAAGGTAATGATGATGGTGATGGTGAAGATGATGATAATGATGATCATGATCATGATCATGATCATGAAGATCATGATGACGGTGTAGGTGATAATAATACTAATGAGGATGTTAGCGATGCATTGATTTAGGATTTAAGCAACACTAACGTGTTATCGTGCAATGTGCGTGGCGAAACACAAAACAAAACAAAACAAAAGCAAATAAAAATCACATAGACAGAAAACACACAATGTGTAGAGACAATAAAACGGCACCCCAACATACTGTCAAAAAATTGAAATAAAAATAATAATGGTTATAATCCAAAATGATATTTTTTATATTCGAAACATAGGTCTCCTCTTGTTATCAGGATAGAACGATCACTTAGAAAGAATTGTAGTCCAGTATTTTGTTACTTTTACGATATTTCGTGTGTCTCGATATAGCCAATTGGATATAAATGCAGAATTACGATACCTTTGAAAAGGGTTGGAATTTTCTCCTAATCAGAGTTAGGTTGCAAAAAATATAGTTTTCGTCATCCCTAAATTTCAAATGTTTTTCGACGTTCAAAACAGAAATACAACACGTAAACTTGTGCTTTGTTGCATGCAACCATAAAGGATAAGTGCTTGGTAAAAAAAATAAATAAAAAGCAACAACAATAAACAAACAAAACAAAAATTAAAACAAAACAAAACAGAACAAAAACACCCGCGACAATGACGTAATATTATGATTAGTTTAGCAAGGTGAAATGACAATATAAAAATGATAATGTGTATTATCCAGGTGCATTCCAGTGCATGTCTCAATTGAGTGGTGTCGTGTGTTGATGTTACTGTATGTATACATAATACTTGTCGAACAACACTTCAAAATGAGACCCCTTTTAGCACGACTGTTAGTTTATTATAAATAAATGAACATTTTCATTTACAAATATAATTCAAAGTGGCAGAGATTGATAAATGTGTGTTCATTACTGACCTGTTTCTTTTCTTAACAAAGTAATATTATTCTTTTATTTTGTAAAACAAACTATTTCAAATGTTAACCGTTTAGCCGATTAGCTTGTGTTACAACAAAGTGAGTTTATGGTATCTAAAAGTAGGTTTTCAATAATTGTAACCCAGTCTGCCTTTCGTAGTGTTTAAATTCAGGATAGCTTTGGTCTCAGTTTGAAGTGTTGGTCGTCTTGTTTATGTTCGAATAATATATGATGTGAGATTAGATCTTCCGGGAGTTCCAAACTGCGTCACCTGTGTTACGGCTCTCAACCTCAGGTTCATTCTCTTCTGCGGAAAAAGTGTTGATATCGTTACTATGGGCAACATGGAGAAACTTTGAGAGGCAGATAGACGGACACAGCAAACTGTGACAGGACACACACGATGTGGACAGTTTGGTTGTCTGTTGGTCAAACTGGCAAACTGTTTGGAAGTGCTGACATCATCGCAATCCGGGCAAACCCCTGTAGTTGCTCAGTCCTTCTTCTCACCAAAGCAACTCTGTACTATTTAGGTATTTCATTCATGCAAAACACACACGTTATTCTTCTTTCAAAATAGCATTAGCATTTCGATCACTTAATCGTAAACTTACACATGTTCGATAAAGAGTGAGATATATCTTTCTATTACTTTTATGAAATAATAACCATGACGTGCTCTTTGCCTAAATAACACAATTTAATTAAAAAGAAAATATCAAACAAGAAACAAGAGTGTTCTTAATTAAATTGGCTTGACGAAATAAACTAAATATCTATCAATAAATAGCTAATAAAAAATAAAGATATAGTATGAAGCAAAACAAAACAACAAACAAAACAAAAAGAAAATATCAGTGTTTCCTTTTCCTCTAAGGTAAGAGTCAAGTTGTATGGCTGAGTTCATCCACTTGGTAATTACCATCATTAGTTTCACAAGTTTAAACTGAACGTAATACAATATAAAGCAACTGAAGGTAAAGAAAATCCGTCTAGCATGAAGCATGCAATATTATAAATATAAACAGATATTATGCACCAAATTAATTTTTTTTAAATTGATAAATAGACAAACTATTTTTTAAGCGAAATGTAATTTTAATAGATCACTCTTGGTCCATTAAAATTCTTAAAATAATTCCCCCCCCCCCTCCCTACCCCTTTCAGGTGGTCAGCAACAATCCGTCTCTTTCCATAATTATTAAAATGTAGCAGAAAATCTAGATTTTTAAAGAGGAAACAATTGCTTTTTTTTCAGTGGTAGCAGAACTCATTTCTGTTATGTAAACAGAACATGAAGTTGGAGCTTAAACAATATAATGTGTTGCAACACGGTAGAATCAGGAGTTCATTAAATTTCGGGCAGGAAGATTTGTTGGTATCGTGTTAAAGCCTTTTCTTTTGACCTGCTTTCGAGGGAAAACTTAGAATTTAAGTTTAAAATATTTGCGATAGAAATTGGTGGGGATCGCCTGGCTTTAGAGGCAAAACAAACGAGAAAATTACAGCGAAAGTTTAGTGACTTCTAAAACTGAGAGTTCGTGGGAACGGACAATTTACTTATTTGTGCGGTAAATAAACACTTTTCAGTAAAATCAACACAGATACGTGTTTGTAAATGCACATAAAAGGTGCTGAGCAACAACAACAACAACAACAACAAAACGGAGAAAAAGGGAAACATTAGGTTAAAAAAATGCAAAACAGGCGAAAAATGCCCGTTTCTTCAAACTTAAGTTCTTTGACGAGCACTTGATTTCACCGCGATGCCTCACATATATCCAAAACATTGAAAGAGAGGATAGACCGTCATCTTTTTTAAAAGACATAATTTGTATGATTCTTGCTTTTCAAGTATCACAAGAAACATACTGTTGATAGCGATACATTAATTTTCAGCTATTGATATTTACCATAGATTCGACATAATACATAAACAAAAGTACTTACGACAGTGAACTGATCCGAGGATCGCCTGTAATAAAGAACATGAATAACGTTACACATAAAGAAAACAATGTCAATTCTTAAGAAATAATGACTTTACGTAGTTTGAAACAAAACATTACATTTATTATCATGAACTATGATAGGAGTAATGTTCAGGACTAGACGATGATTACAATTGCCGATAACGATTATGCAGAGGATGATGATGATGATGATGATGATGATGATGATGATGATGATGATGATGATGATGATGATGATGATGATGATGATGATGATGATGATGACGATGATGAT